CTGTGGTAAGACCCGGGCCTAATGGAAAATACAAAACGATTATGAGTTTCAGTGGTAAAATATAAATTCTTTTCCAGATTTTGCTCTCGATCAGTCGTAGGTACTGTATCTACTGCCGTAAGACGGCATCGAAAAGTGTATCGTCACCACTTATTACGACGAATGTGCATGGAATGGGTGGGCCATTCGATTTCATGTCCAAGAAGGAGCCATAGTTCCAAAGAGCAAAACTCCGATGGATGACGTAATACTGGGAGTGGTAGCCTTCACTTTTTCCTTTTCTCATCAGAATTTAACCTTTCTGTCCTCGTACTTCCATGCGTTCTTTCTTACCGTTCTAATTGCTTTTACTTTCTTCTGGCGGCTTGGGACTTATGAAACGGCTATTCAACTCCCAACCACCACCAGCCCCGCACAAGCATTACGCGATCCTAGTGAAATCACAATTTTGCTCGTGCTCGAAAGCTACAACATAGGTTCAAGAACCTGCTAACTCCTACGCGCTATCCCGAAACATTGTTTCTAATATCTCGTCGAATGCGCCCATAACCGTGCCGCTAGCGCTAAACTTTGGTGCAAGTTATTCTACCAAGGAAGGGCAACATGCTTGAGAGATGCACCCCAGCCAGAATGCGCACCCTTGACGTCAGTGCCATCAAAATGAAACGGCTTTGCACGCCCAATGAAGAGTATACACAGCATGAACCTGGACCATATGACTCCGAAATTCACTCGTCACAAGCAGCTGATGACTTATCTTTGTGGCAAAAATTGAGCAAGCAGGCAATAATTCGAGGGCCACTAAGCGCGGAAAGAAAATAACCGAGTTCAAATCCGCATATTGTGGCGTGTGACTCCCCTGTGGCTTAAACATCACCGAGTTTTAATTGGAAATCGACGTACCACGGCAGTGGTCATCTTCCTTTGAATGACAAGAGGCGGTCTACATATCCTCCGGCGAGGACCCAGAAAACGCATTCATCGTTCAGGATAGGAGTGAACCAGAAGGGGTGACGAAATTAGATACGAAGTATTTAGGTGTCCGGTGCTTCCTAATTATGATTTTGCAGGTTATTAAAGAAAAGTCACTCAAAGTGCATTCGTCGTTCTTTTGATAATTCCGCGCATTTTAATCCGTATCACTCGTGTAGGCTTCCGGCTAACTTACAGAGTATGCGTGTGCTTGAATCTGGAAAAGGTTAACCAAGAATTCTAAATCCGGGTTTATTGAATAGTACCAACCTACCGAGCATGCAAAATATCTGCCATAAAAAAGGCAACCGAACCACACTGACTGTGACGGGCGCCTGAAGCTCCGGGACCCCGTTTCAAAGACTATCATTGCCACAAAAAGGAGACTGATGGTCGTATTTAACCAAGGCCAGGCTGGTTAAACGATAACGAACTTACTTTTATTCCACAACAATTTCCTGGTGGTCGGTGCGTTCCCTTGACAGCCATCATCATTACGTCCAAGGCCCATCTCGGGACTATTTCAGAAATGTTTAAATAGGCCTGCAAAACCGAGCCTCATGGGAAAGTCACTATGAGAATTAATTCTCGGTGCTCCCACACAGTGCTCAGGGCCTCACAGGGACACCTTTCCGATCAAACTACACCAAGGTGCCCGAGGAACTAAAGAGACGCACGTTTGCCTCAAATCCTTGATCAACGGCATGTCTGGTCACCCAAAAGATGGTATCAAAAGAGCTACATGGAAAAACATCACTCCCAAAGCGTAAAAGGCCCACACAACCAGGGCTCCCACGAGACAAAAAACCCCGCAAATGAAAATCATCTCTTATCCCTTCTGAGCCTCGGACTCAAACCCAACGCAATACTATTAAGTCTGCTATTCCCTCCGGTCACACAACTCTCGGTCCTTCACCTTCAAAGGCAGTAGAGACAGTGTGAAATTATTGTCCGCGAACTGCCTTAGACTTTCCAACAATCTTTGCGATATTAAACAATCAGTTTACCTTGAAGAGCCGTCCATAATCGCGCTCACGGAAACCTGGGTCACCCCAGAGGTATCTGACTCCGATATGTCGACGGCCGACTGCTGTATTTCGAGCTGACTAAAAACGAGGGAGAGCTGGTAGGAGCGCTCCGTACATGCATGCGAACATACATATCCCGATTATCCGCTCTGATACCAATAATGCATTTTTTCGGAGCACTGTGGATCAAGATCCCGCTGCACGGGTCCGATTCTTTTCTTCTCGGTGTGGTCTATCGTAAACCCTCTAATGCTCCTGAGGATGAGATTCCTCATGCGAACTCCTGAGCGACTCTCCTCCAGTGACCAATACACGCATCTCTCCAAAGGCAGCTCTGATGGAGCTCCAGCGCATCAGATAAAGTAGACTTCTTGCAGCTGTGCTGAACTAAGTCGTTCAACAGAGCGCTTGGACTCATCATGGCGTCACGCCCACCAGATACCGCGCAAGCTAACTACCATCCCTCCTGGATTCGGTCATCACCAAAAAGAACACTTTGTTGTTCAGGCACTAAGTAACGCTCCACTGGGGAACAGGGACCATTGGGCCAGGATTCCCGAACATGGGGCAATAATTAACGCTCCACTGGGACACAGGGACCACTATGTATTGACCTTCGATTTCATCTGCCATTGGGCCAGGATTCCCGAACATCAAGCCCGAAGTCGAAACTTTTGCCATGCAGACATTTCAGGAATGCGCATCTTTCATGGACAATTTAGGCTGAGGCCAGCTTCGGTGGAAGACTAATATAGGACCATTGTCCAGAAAGCTCACGAGGCTGACGAGACGTTCGCCTCAAAAAACCAGCAACGGAATATCGCAGGCCGCCTAAAGGATGAAGCGTCTTGTGGAAAAGAAGTCTGAACTTTTTCCAAAAAGATGACTACAAGCGACACAGAAGATGAGCTGACAATTCGTAAAATGCGGAGCCGCTGTAAAGCAGAGATCCGCCAATGGAACATACGGAAACAAGCAACCATTCAGAACCTTGCTCGGAAAAACAGAAATGTGTTTTTCAAATATGTGCGAAGTCACCGCAGAAACATGACATCCGCGTTCTTCTCGAGGGACAAGAACGGAGAACCCATGAGCCACCCAATAGTAGTATCCGAGGTCTACAGAAAACACTGTGCATGTCTGTGTTCAGTCCCAGAGTCCTCGCCACATCCAATCTTGTCAAGGCACAACTACGAACGGCCTCTGTCTGACATGGTCTTCATGGTCGATGGCCCTGAAGTAAACGTCGTTTACACTGTCAGTCGCTTTTTATGCGCCACCTTCCCTTTGCTGGTAAGGAACAGACTGTCACGCCAATCTATAAAATTGATGACCGACTATCGTCTAGCAGCTACAGGCTTGTGAGACTAACTAGCGTACCGCGCAAGGTGCTGGAACGCATTTTGAAGCGAGCCATCCAACGACTTGATATCTCCAGCTCGACACAGATTCACATGCCCCGCTGCTCCATAAACTCGAGTCTTACAGGATTCAAGAAAGACTCCCACACGGGATCAAGGCGTTCCTGTCAGATAGATCATTCCCAGTGAGAATAGGGTCCACCTACTCTTTTCCATCGCCGATATCCCTTGGAGTTCCTCAAGACTCCGTTCTGGCACCACTGCTGTTTCTGATGTACCCCAACCATTTTCCAGATGTTCTTGCAAGTCCATGTCTACGTTTTGCAGACGAATTGAAACCCTGGGGATCCAACGCCACTGCAGACGCTGCACAGCGGTGGTCGTTGGACCGGCACCTTCATCTGAACGAGGGAAAGGACCAGAAAACCACACGAGGACAGATTCCAAAAAGACTTTTGGTGTTAGGCTCTTTTCAAACATGTCCTTCTTGCTGCACTATAAGGAATCGGCCCAAAAGGCATTCGCCGTTCGACAAATGATTCGACGCACCTTTCCCGTATTACTCGCAATGATCTCCAAGTGCTCTATGGGACCCACGTCAGATCGCTTATTGAAAATGCCAACAAAGTTATCTAATCCGGACGCACGAAAAACGTCACCGCACTGAGCTTGTTCAGCGAGCCGCTGCGGATATGGCTGCCGGCCTCAAATCCATGAACTACGAAACGGGTCTCGCGGCCTTGACCTCTTTCCCCCGAAGTGTCGCCGCCTCCGCAGGGACCTGATTCTTACTTATGCCCTGTTTGAACAGGGCTTGGACAGTAGGTTTTTCACCGTTGGTTAAGAAAACACACGGCGGGGACGGGGTAAGAAAATTTCCAAGCCCAGAGCACACTTGCATTAGGCAAAATTTTTCCCATATTTAAGAGTCCTCGCCCTGGCAAGTATAATGCCCCGCGCTGATAACTTAAAGAACAGTGCTACAGACTTTTCACTTGCGCTTTTCAGGTCAACGACAGCCGACGAGCGATTAGGGAAGCTTGCGCGAAATCCTCGATCATGCGTACCAATCCATGAATCCGTGAATCACGAAGGCAAGTTTGTCGCTATGCACCGAGGCCCCGGATATTAGCGCAGGATACGTTCACTTCACCCGTCAACCGAATCAACTTCGCCAAACATCGAGCTGGAACCGGATTTGGAATGCCTGCGTAATGGTCCGCGAGCGTGTGAACATGCGACTGCCAGCCTTCGCAATTGTCTAGGTGCAGATCATGAAAAATAAACACCACTCACATGCTGGAATACGGTCCGAAGAACTAATATACCTAAAACCTTTCAACAGACCCGACGTTTCCGGATCCACGAGACTTGCAAAAGTGCATTTGTTAAAGTTTCGCCCCAGCGTTGTACAACACAGCCACGGGTAACTTTCTAAGCCAAAACACAGTACAGGTGTTTTGCCATCCGACCACGGTTTACACTCCTATATGAGATACCAGTGGTTTTCACAACTGAAATTTCGTCGAACAATCTGATTGAAATATCGCAGCTCATGTTTTGGTAGTGTATTCGCCATTCTCTAGTCCGTCCAAAAACAAATGCTCCCTAGTTAATTTAGGATATGCACAAAACTCACTTGAAAGATAGAAGTGCTGCAAGAGTCCGGATCGCACGCGAACTACATATATCTATCTCGGATTCACCGGTGGACTTCAGTGACAAGATTGATCTGGAGAACAGCGATTTTTCAAGCTCATCTCTGCTTAACAAAGAGACCACCCGTTCGGTCCAGGCGGTAAATAAACGACAGCACCAGAGTCGATCCGAAGTATCCTCCGAGCACTGAAACAACAAAACGAATATATATGCAAATCACGGTTTAACTGCATCGATGAACAAGGCGTAGGCCAATCAGGGCTGAGCCTAATGTTTATGTCAGTTGGTCAACAATTCAAAAATGACAAAGGGCGTGGTGAAGGTGGAGCACAAAAACTTATCAACATCACAAAGTCCTATTCATTTACACGTATCAGAGGATGCTCCAGTGCATCTACACTTTGAACCACCCGGTTACTGTGGCAACGAACAGATGAAACCAGCACCTGAGGTCCGAAAATACCCTGTTAAATCCCAGAGCGCCTATCAAGTACCATGGATTCCACCACCAGCAAAAACCAGTAAAGGTAAGTAATAAGCAAGAATAGAGTAGGAGAGAGCAGGGATTAATTTAAGTTAATAGAGTTTGGCATGATAATAAACCAGGCTCCTCACGCTCCACAGTGTTTAAGAGCTCGATTAGAATTTTTTTCATCTTTTTTTTGAAGTCACTAAGGGGGTTGATCGACGGTATTGTTCAGCATCTACAGACAGCTGTTCAACCGGGGTGTGCTTATCATTACAGTTAGAGCAGAAACGATGGGCACATAAAAGGTCCCACACATGGCGAATGCGTAAGACGAAAAGGTAATCCAGACGGCAAAAATAAAGGAAATCTCTGAGGGTTGTAGTGTTAGCGAGGTTGAGGAGTTCGTGACACGGCGGCCTTGAGGGGTAGGTATTTGACAGATGGACTCTATCACCGACTCTTTCCAGCTGTCTGGGACAGACCCCTTTTATAAAATGCAATCAGACGGGCCAGACAAGCGCTGACTGAGGATTTCATCTCCATCTATGAAGAACGCGCGTTGTAGGTCATCCGGACCAGAAACTTGATGACGCTTAAAAGAACATTTTCAGTCGTGAACCCCCGAGGCCTTAAGTGGCTCCAAATTCGCTGTCCAGGGTTCTACGTCAATTATCGGCTCCAGATGAGTTGCATCTGGTGGCCACGGCAATTCTCTTTCGAAATACTCGGCCCACCGGTTGAGGCATTCCTCTTTATTCAAGATGGTCACTCCAATCCGATCCTTGATGGTTTCGTTGACAGATAATTTCTGAGGATCGGTTGCACGGATCAACTGAAGTATTTTCCCACATTCCCGGCATTATGGACCTCTCCCATTCCCTTGGCTTCGTGTGTTCACCACACTTCACGGCCGGTTCGCATGCCCACTTTCACAAGACATCTGATAATTCATCACATCAATTTATGAACAGGACCGGCTGGGATATTTCCCCCAGATTTAAGGAGTGCTACTGTTCGGTCTGATTCCCATTGCTTGCGTGCACCTGGTGGTGCAGTGCCACAGGACAAATTCCCAGCACTATGTAAAGAGGTGGCAATCTCGTCCCAGTATGAGTTCACATCTGATGGTGGAGCCTTTGGGAGAGACTCTGGAAGACGATTCTGGTAAGTTCACCTAGTATTCAAATCTGCTAGTTTCTCAGTCTCTAATCAATTTGCCTGCACCTTACGCGGCTCTGGAAAACGTAGGGATAAACGACTCCGGTTGGGTGCGTGGTCGCTATCCAAGAATATGTTACAAGACGACCGGCAGTCAGTGATTGCCATTGGTAACTGATAGCAATATGACCGATTTTGGTTTGTGCGCGACAGGACGTTTGAGTACACCATGTGACCAGACGACTTCGGCTATTTCGGAAGTTAGTACTGCATAAAAGCAGCCTGTGGTCAGCCCGAAGCTGAAGTAATCGTTCACGATTGTCCGTACGTACCGAGTCCAATCCATGTCGACCTCGTAATTAAGCCTCATAAACGCCAAGCCTGCCCACTTGTGCATTCATATATCCAGCGTTCAGCTCAACGCGGCATTCAGGGCGTTGTAAAATCCGTCTTTGACGGCGTCAGGTCTCCAGTGAGTTGCAAGGCAAGCAGGTACAATAAACAGGCATCGACCAATTTCTCGCTTGTGAGACTCCTCCACAGACGTTGCCAGACGAACAGCACAGAAGCGACTATCAACGGGTATCCACTAAAGCAAGGATACTTACGCCCGGTGACTCAGGACGATACCATCCCATGCACATCCTGTCAGAGAAGCCTCTGGATCTCCGGAGGTGCATAGCCGGAAGCGAGTGAAGAGTGATGGGGGAGGTTTTTAGACCCCTAACCATTGACTCTGTATCGCATGGACACCTCCCGGCATAGCCCAATTGGTCAGTGAGGTGCGCAAACCGTCACACCACGGTAAGGTCCAGGCTCTTCTCAACAGAGGTCAGTGAGGTCGCATGTAAGTTTAAAACTGTGGTGGATCTACAACTCTGCCTCTTGACCATCGGCACTACCTAATTAGTGGTATCGTTTCGCACAGCGAGGAGGCTCGATTCCGATTGTTGTTCCGTATGAAAGTGATTCACAGTTGGATATGAGCTCCTCAATGACGATAGTTTAAGTAATGGTCAGTAATATCGCGCTGAAAAGCGGAGGAATGGTTTTCCATTTTTGAATACCACGTGATTGAATTCATTAAAGCAGTAACTTTGGCGTTTCATTAGTGATTGCCCTGCCTACTTAATTATCAAAATTCTTGAGCATTCTCACACCAGGTAGATTTAAACCCACTGCCCGAAGAACCCAGAATATCTACAGTACGTCAGAGCGCAGCGTCTTTTCCAAAGTGTGCTCGGAATAGGAGATCAGAATAGCTCGCTATACCACCGGTTTTCTAAATACAAGCAAGTAGTTGACAGCACTCCTTGGATAGGCAGCGAATAGTCTGCCAACAGTGTTACAAAACCAAATACACACTTGCGTGAAAAAAGGATAATCCACAAGAATGCACAAAGTATTTATCGGCACGGCTAGCAGGCGTAATGGGCATATCACTGGGTCTCAAGGTTCGTATGTACCAGGCTACAGTAAAGGCTGTATTGTTGTGTGGTCACAAGACTCGGATCCTAGTCAGTAATATCGCGCTGAAAAGCGGAGGAATGGTTTTCCATTTTTGAATACCACGTGATTGAATTCATTAAAAGCAGTATTTTGGAGTTTCATTGGCGATTGCCCTGCCTACTTAATTATCAAAATTCTTGAGCATTCTCACACCAGGTAGATTTAAACCCACTGCCCGAAGAACCCAGAATATCTACAGTACGTCAGAGCGCAGCGTCTTTTCCAAAGTGTGCCCGGAATAGGAGATCAGAATAGCTCGCTATACCACCGGTTTTCTAAATACAAGCAAGTAGTTGACAGCACTCCTTGGATAGGCAGCGAATAGTCTGCCAACAGTGTTACAAAACCAAATACACACTTGCGTGAAAAAAGGATAATCCACAAGAATGCACAAAGTATTTATCGGCACGGCTAGCAGGCGTAATGGGCATATCACTGGGTCTCAAGGTTCGTATGTACCAGGCTACAGTAAAGGCTGTATTGTTGTGTGGTCACAAGACTCGGATCCTATGGACATATAATTTGAGATATCTTCAGATTTTGACAGCCGATGTCCCACAAGCGTTGCTGGTGTCAGATGGCTTCAGTGAATTATTAAGGTATTGGAAAACGGGTGTTTGGCTGTGCAACAGGTACTTCAATCACAGGAAAAATTCAGCTGCACCAACGTGTTACACATTCCGAAACATCTTTTACTGTGGTCAGTGCTATTCTATAAGCATCCCTCAGAATGGTGCAAACCGCGAGGCAGAAAACACATGGCTCAGTAGAAGAGTATGAAAGAGCTTACGCGTTTTAGGTGCGGTCCACATTCAAGCATTGGGTCTTCGTGACTCCCCTCGTACTTAGTTGGGGGCACTACAAGGAATAACGGCCAATCAGTGGTTGTCAGCGACATTCATGTTGTCTTCCAGATTGTCCCAATGAGTACTTGGAGGTGCATGCAACCGAGAATACTTGCTGTAGCCAACTTCTTCAATCTTTCCTCTTAGAGGCTTTAGGTATAACTAGGTAAACTTTGTGGCTGTGCGGAAATGATGCACCCGTTTCAACTCTAACGTCGCTGTCTTTGGTTACACTGATGATGTTGGGGGTATTTTTGGGCTTTTCAGAGAAGTTACAAGAAGGCAGCGCCATACCAGACCGAATCGTCTTGAAGTTCCAAAGTATACTAGCGTTCTGTCGCACTGATTTACACTCATTCTTCCGTTTATAAATACCTTTCACTCGTGAAGTCTTAACCGCTGGAGTCCGTTAGCCTTTTTTGGACAGGTTTCGCCAGATACCAAAAAGTGAATATTGTTCACCAAGGGCAACGATTCGGGTCATGAAGCGGGATATCTAGATAGTCGACGACTTTGAAATAAAGCGTAGAATCAATGGGAATGCAGTTATCTGATAGAACACTTCCTGTGCTTCACTTCTAACACGAGAAAAAGGTGGTTCATGAATCTTCCGCCTCCAGGAAGTTCGTTAGGCAAGCCACGACATTACACTCTGTTATCCTGCCAGTAAGGATTATTAGGTTAGAAAGCTGGTTTGATTTTGATTGCAAGGGTAATTTTTCTCTAGCACTTAGCCACGTTTGCAAGTACGTTGTATTTGATGGTCCCATAGGCGTGAGTATTTCTAGTTTCCCTCCCTGCATTCGCTTCCGTATTTATGAGTTGTTAGGATAATCACAGCTCATTTAATCCCACTAGGATGCTAAAATTGGCAGCGTATATCGCCACCAATTGTGACTCTATCGTTCTTGCAATTAGATCCCTCGTTGACGACTTCATCTATTGAGGCGTACGGTCTTCCGTATACATTTGTAAGACAGTCCGTAGGTGTAGTGCTGACCATAATTTATATTGCCAGTAGACGGTGCGAAAACATCCATTTTCAAACTTTGAGTCTGTAAGCATGTAGTTTTTTAACGTTTAAGCCATTCCATTGTGTGCGTATTACACGGAGGTTCGCCTAATGTTTATCCTGGAACCATTAGTTTCATGGATACTGCTACTAAACAGTCCTTTTAGGAAAGGCTCCCATCAGTACAAAAACGTAAACACCGGACCAGCCTGATCAATTCAATCCATGAAAGTAAGTATGAGGGAGAGAATTCATGTGTTTATCGCTCTCTTTACCATCCGTAATACCGGAACCATCTACGTAACTCGCCTAGAGTGGTAGCTCCGCGACCCTCCCCTAGTTTGCAAGGTATATCTGGTAGGTGATCTCAATGGTGTCATTTTCTATCAATATTGTCCCATAGGTCGTCTAGGGTTGTAGACATTCTGAGTGCCTGTACCTAACAAGTCATTCCATTTCCCATTATGTATTTGGCTTCGTTGTGCAGCCGTGTGCAAACACTCTGACATGATTGTACAGATGGTCAGAGACAGTGTTTTTTCATTGGCACTGCGTTCTAATGAAGACGATGGTCCGATCCGCTCAAAATTAGGATGGGCGAATCATGACAGTTCAAAGAACAACAACCCGGAAAGCGTTGTAAAGTTTTCAGCGTACCTTATGGAGGAAAGATCAGGCGTCTACAACGAACTTTGTATAATCCTAGAGCCGCGTGAATATCATGACTGAAATTATGATCAAGATGTACGTGAATTTAACTGCGAAGTTCGAATAGTTGGGACTGAAGCTAAGACCATCTGAACAAGCAAGATATTGTGGCAATCGCGCCAAAAAGATCCGCATGAATACAAAACGTACACTTTACAGCCGCACGAAAATAAGACATTACTTTACTCCAAGTCATCATACACTCATTGGCGACAACAGAAGTAAACTCATTTCAGCTGATAAAAACAATAAATGAATTCAGCCAAAATCGTCTGGAGCACTTTGTTTGACCATACAGAATAACACTGGATATTCTTTGGCTTTTGCATCATCGTCAGGTATAGAAACCACGTAAATGTACAGTGGTTATGGCTACTAAAATTTCGTTCTCCGGTGATTTGGGAAGGCAGGGGTGGATAGCTACTTATCAGACAGTAGTTGGTATAATTGATGTGCGAATACGGGACTTTTACCAAGGATATCGGGAGGACAAGTTATGAACTGGAGGTAACAGATTGAGCACACGACTGATCCATGTCTGGCAATGTCTCTAACCACTGATGTGCCTGTCTTAGGATCCTCTTCCAAGGGGACGGCAATGACGAGGGCGGCTGAGTGTGCTGGCAATGGCTTTCAGGCTTCGCTGCCAAGTCAATGTTTGACATTCTCTGGCTGATTTCTACTACCTTCCTTTGTTGCTGTTAGAAGGGGCCCTCCGATAAAGTCAATCGACTGACGTACGGAGCACGAGACTAAGCTAGCATACCTTACGGAGTGTGATTGGTTCAGCTGTTATGGACGACATAGTCCTTACGAAGGCTATTCTATGTACTTTGGTCATGTGATCATGGGGTACTACGAAGGTCTAGGGGTGCGACCGGACGAAATACCGAAATGCAGAGACAAACTGCAAAGCAAATAAGCTAGGTCTTGTTAGCTTCCCATAGCAATGTCTACCGGACAAGGTTGTCAGCCTGTCCATCTGTATTGATGCTAGTGTCCGGAAACCGTCGGACGTTATTTCGACGACAATGCTTGCGTGGTTTTTCCGGCCAACACACTTCGGATTTGAGCAGCCGTCTACCCATAGCTTTCATGGTCACAACAGCCCATATCTTTCGATTTTGATGTTAAGACACGCGATATATTATTGTGAGAACGAATGTGAGGTCAAATTGAGGACAGCCGTCTACCTATAGCTTTCATGGTCACAACAGCCTATATCTTTCGATTTTGATGTTAAGAGACGCGATACATTAATGTGAGAACGAATGTGAGGTCAAATTGAGGACTAGTTGGCTGACACAGTACTTCAGTTCGCCGCATTTGCTTGTGACAGGGCGTCTTCCGGATCTGTCTCAGTGAATACCTTTGTGTTTGACTTGGATCCTTCGGTCAACAGAAGCAGAGAATGCAGATCATCATTAACTTCATGAGCATTTGACGTTTCGTTGGACCGCTGACGTAGGAATTTTGCATTTAACCGGCCAAACATACGGTAGGACGTTTTGTCGAATGATCATCAGAAATTAGTAGATTTTTGGACATCTTTTCTGACGGTGATTGTAGGGAACACCTGACGCTGATGTCACGCTTTACGAACTCAGTGCAACACCCAAAATTTCAGTGGGTAACTACCCTCCAGTAGCACCAAACTGAGTGAGGCATTTTGAACAGTCGTTTAGCCGGACTTTCCTCGTTGTTGGTCCATACAGAACAATGTTGAGGTTCACGCTAATGCTTGATAAGTCGTTGCTTCGTATATACACGGTCCTAGGGCAAACATTCTTAAATCCTCACGACTTCATATTCGAGAAAATATATTGGTACATTCCTTCTTTTTTCTGTCACCGACTGAATAATTCTATGAGCCGCAAGGAATTCAATCAGTACACGTCGATAATGTGGCGGTGCCAGAGATCAAACTTGTAGGTCGTTAATCTTAAATGGTCAGATCACAATCTGACCAGGAACACGTCGGAAAAGAGTGGGCTTAGTGGAAATCCTAACATCCTTCGCTCCTTCTGCCTGTAACGACTCTTAGTTGACTGGAACGTCACGGCAGATTTCCAGTGAAAGTAACTAACGTGGCTCACACCGGAACAGTCTTCTATGTTGTAGCAAACTGAAGTGTGTAGTCCACCATTTCGAATGGCGGTCAGTTCATGAATATCCATGCAACTGTTACAAGGGAAATGAATACGCCCTTTCGTTCACTGGCATGTATGATTCCAGCTACATATTGCCTGTACATTCACACTGGTTGGAGTAACTTTGCCAAGCAGCCAGAAACAATGAAATGCGAGCGTGGATTTTGGTCGCGTATTTTTTGTAGGTCATGCAGGTGTGGAAAACGGTGACCGATTGGTCACGAGGCTTTCAAACGTGACAGCAACGTCGTTTCAGCCGTTCTTCAGGCAATCTACATAACTTCTGTTCATAAGCACCCGCGTTGCTCTTCTCTCTTGAATGGAATTGCCTAACATGATAAATTGAAGCTTATCCACAAGTGAAGACTCCCACATTAAGTAGACAGTTTGGTTGCGCTTTTGTGCTTCACAAGCCAAAGGAGTGGGACGAGATGGCCAAAGTGGTTAGAGCGCGAATTTACTGACTGGAAGGTCCGTGGTTCGAACCCGACCTCTGCCTCTCTTCCACTGTCTAGGCTTGGGCAACCTGGCAGTATCTAAGCCCTCGTGCCTCCTTCAAGTGGCATGGCAGCTAGGCACCGAAAGGGTGCTACAGCTGAACAATCATATTATTTTTATTAGAATGGGACGAGACATGGAAGAATTAAGGCCTAGGGAACGTCTGAAGCGTTTGAAGAATTGGAGGACATAAGGTCAACAGATACCTACATTTTTCACCTGTATGATGTAGTAAAAATACACTAACCCAAACTACCTTAGCGTTCTACTGTGGGTGTCTGATTCAACCTACAGTGGTTGGCCGAGCTAGTCATATATCAGATTTCTGTGTCAGCCTAGATTATCCATAACAACAGAGAATAAAGACCTAACGACGTTATCATGATCTCTCTCTCTCTCTGGACTTTCCACAAAAGTAGCACTGTTGAAAAAGAGCCTATTGCCAGGCAGAGCATGAAAACTGTCTTACCACAGAATGATTTACGTACATTATTGATGTGTTGTGCACCAACTATTTTCAAATCAATTGGAAGCGATAAGAACAGAAATGTGGACTGCGATTGAAATGTCCATTGAGGTCAGACGTGTTCAAGGCAACCCTAGAGTTTGACCGATGACGTCAAGTTGGACTGCTCATCATCATCATCGACAGCATGAAATCAGTGTTCAGCACCGATGCTTCCCTGCCGTACAACCATGACTTATTTGAAGGCCTTATTGTAAAAAAAGAGTAAAGGTGGACGGGGGAGGGACTAAGTGCTAGCTTAACACAATCATTCCGAGGTGCCTACACCTCCAGACACACACTCACGCAATCTGGATAGAAACTGACAACAAGAACGCCACTGACATCGGTTGGACTGCTGGCACCGCCTCGTTCATGTCACGATTGCGACCCTGGGCAAACGGATGACTATGTCCAATTCAGTTCGTACCATGATCAGTTTCAATGGAATAACATGCTTCACCAGCTCCTTTATGGTTGACAATAGCGTAATGTGCACAAGCACAGACCGAGCAGCAAATAAAATCTAACGATTTAGTGGTGGCCATAAATCAGAGTTTGAAGACGACCACACATATATGCACAGCACCTCTGAGGACAGACTATTGAAGGCACTACTAGTGACCAATCGGTGAAAGCCTCAGTCCTCAGGTTAATCCGCCCAGTAATGCCGGCCAATAATAAATCGCGGCTCTGGGTGGTAATAACACAGAAACATATTTCAAAAGTGCGCGTTCAGCGCTGATTAACGCGACGATTTCTTACCCTCTTCAAAAAAACTGACAGAACGCAAAGCAGATCACAAAATTAGCATAATGCCTTGTTAATCCTGAGCTCGCCAGATGAACACCATTCTTCTAGCCAATTAAAAAAGGGCTTTGAAAGGTCTCAGATACCGGTGCGTCAGTCAAAAGGATGCAGGCAGCGCTTTGCTGCAGCTTATGGGGCCGACTAAACTTGAGTTGGACTATTCCGGTTAGCCGCATTCCCAAACTTTCACAATGCCTTTTAACAAGCCATTGTGTCATACTGTATGATTGCAGAAGTTATCTGGTAAGTACCCTAAAATGTGAGTTGCTCACGCAACCTGTGTTACCCGACGAAGCTTAAGAATGGCGCAAACAATAAAGATTTGACATTCCAGAACCAAGTACAAGCTTTCTAATTTTAAACACTTGGCGCTAGAAGTTTATGAAAGTAGCTCTACTGAAATAAAGAAAGTCTTAGGCCTGTCGCCTATAAGCTGAAGCAGATAATCAACGCCAGATATGTTCACGGAGCACAACTAGGTAGCCGTGAAACGCCATGACGGAATACGGACTGAAACGTGCAGAAACTGAGATATAGAATGTTCTTCCCCTCTAACTAATTGTCGGTTTCCCTCTCCACCAGGAAAGTTTGCTTATGCTACAAGACCAGCCACTCGGAAGACGAACGTCATGTATCCACGAAGGAGCACATCAGCCGATTCAATTATTCATTATCCAGAAGATCCACTGGAGGTAAGCTCGTATCAAAGTTCAAAATTTATGCAACTAAAGGAGGAAAAATACCCGCTAAGAGGAAGTACATCTGCGTATCCCTGAGTTATCTTTGAAGGCTGCTAGGTATTTCCTGGTCAGATGGTTCTGGGAGTGATTGTAAGCCAGCTAAGCGGAACCAGAGTTCAGAAATAGATGCAAGCCAGCTAAGCGGAACCAGAGTTCAGAATTTCCTTCTACATGATAGCATGACAGTAAGGACACAGGTCTCACGAATGTGTGGTGGTTTCTCGCAGGATAGGGGTGCCTGGACATCGGAATTATAGATGGCCAAACTGAAAATGGGTCAGGATTCACGGCTATGTACCAGCCAATCAGGTTAATACATACTCACCAGGAAATCTGTTTGCCTAGCCCAAACTTATGTCAAATGCAAATGCTTTGCACAAATGTCCGGACTTGTAGATGAGCAGATCGATTTCTAAAGAATCCGAACAGTCAGTGCGAAATTACCGAGAGTTCAGCGTTATTGATTGGGGCACAAGTAAGTGTATTTAAACACGGAGGGAAAATCCCGGACAGATCAGCTCCTCCCCACAATGACCTCAAACAAATGACAAAATTTGTAACCTTCGAATTTCGATTCTACAACCTCGTAAGATCCCAGACACACGGATGACCCATGCGAGCATTACACCTCAGAATCCGTTATAAATTACATGCATTAGATAGTCCTCTCGTCCACAAGAAGTCTGTCCATTGAGTAGGAACCACACCACCGTATTTCCGGACCATTTTATAGGTAGTAAACAGAGAAAAGGTCGGTTCTGCATTGGAAACTATATTTTTAATCAGCATTTGTCACTTTCATGTCTGCCAATGTCCACAAACAATTATCGCGCCTCGAGTCAATATTCAGACAGAGGACAAGCACCAACGGGGCTGAGCTTGCTTGTTAGGGATTTTATGCTACCCATAATCCCGCCCGATACATATTTGAGTGAATGGAAGAAATCGGTCTTATTTCATTGGAGCACAAGCCCAAGTCGGTGAAAGCTGTAGCAGTCTGTCCATCAAGTTTTGCTCAAAGTTCTTCATTCGGAAATCCTACGGCAATAGGCCGAAACTCCAGAGACACAGGTGGTGAAACGTCGAAGGCTGTTTTGGTTCCGTTTTCAAGTTTTGATGTTGTTGTAGGACGCCTCATACGCTTGTGTATTCTGTTGTGATAGCTACCCCGTCATTTTACCGAACAACTCATTGAAAACGTGGAGCCCCACAACCTGACGGCGCTGTCTTTTCCGTAAATTAGTTCGAATTATGTTCGACGATACAAACGTTCCTGAAACGTTCTTGTAGTCAAGAATGATGTCAGTCTACTACTAACTATCCTTTCCGACTGATTTCTTTAGGATCCAGTACTCCGAGGAACAACAAGGCATGATGAGAGACACGAATTACCGGAAAAAGATCGAAAGCTTTGTGCGTCACGACAGTCGATGGAACCTGTGAGGGAGACCAGACCAGTAAGATTTGCCGGAGAACTCTCACAGAAACGTATTTACAACGACGAAAATACGGATCTCGATGGGATGGAAGACGAGGCTCTGTGGACCACAAGTGTGATGGATCAATGGGCGAATGACGTGGAGAATGCGATTGCACACGTTGCCAGAGCAGCTCGTAGCGTGGAACAGTACCTCGATGAGGTAAGGATACTCACCAGATTGCACTAGAAATATCCTACCTGTGCTAGTTTCTGTAATAAACCATCAAGACCGGACTTTATATTTGGAGCATGGCAATGTACGCCAAACACCCAGTAAAATAGTTTTCAAGAGACACCTCAACATCAAAAGCGCTATGCCAAGTAGCCTCGCCCTTCACAAAACAGGAACAAGAACAATGTGACTCGTTCGAAACATCGCTCACATAGGTTTTCTCAAACTAAGTGGGTTGAAGCACCAGCAAACACCACTCTATACCCTGTCTTTTAGATAATGGCTGAGGGTAGACAAGTAACAACCCGTGATATGAGTCGCCTAAACCAGCCAAAGGATGACCTGGTTCTCCATGGAGAAGTCGCTGTTCGGGCAGGTCGTGAATTGTGTCGGTGGGCATCCAGTGTCAAACAACAACAGGAGCGATTTTTGACCCGCAAACTGCAAAATGTCTCAAGTCGCGAGAACGCAATGCAGTCGGAAATTCATCGTCTGAAAGAATCACTGGATAGAACAAGTGAGTGGGTTTTACCTATTTGATCCGTTGTCCTAAATGTGAACATCACGCTCAATGATGCCCTATACCTACCTTTCCACATAGCCCTCGAATTGGAAGAAACGCAGAAGCGATTGGGTTCGCAGCAGAATGAAAGTGCAAGGTTCACGTCAGTCACTGAATCACTGGAGACAGTTCGGGCTCATTTACAGCGCGAACTACGCCAACGTGAATCCGAATGTAATCGGTAAGAAACCAAGTTCACACCCTACTTTAAAAAGTATTTTGTAGTGAAGGATCTAGCTGTGGTGATTGTCTTATGTTTTACCACCATATTCAGTGGATCGAAGCACTCTGCTCACAAGTCCATGATCAACATAAACTGGAGTCATCGCTGAGTTTAGTGGGGAGACATCAGGATGAGTGAAAACAGCTGATGACAATCATGACCAAGAGTAGTATTGTTTTGTCTGCAAACATGTAGTCGGTGGCAAACAAACCACTATGGCAAGTCCGTCCCCTAAGACGGAACATTGCATGTTCGACAGTGAGAAAACGAACGGACAGCTAGACATCCTAGTGGCAAAGTTGAATGTACCAATGTGAAGCGAAAACGCAGTCCGAGTGGTGGTCTGTTAATCAGGCACAAAGTGGACTATTCTGTGATTCGTCGAATGGATCGTGCAAAATGAAACCCGGCACAAACGAGGATGCATTGCACCACGGTGGATGAAACACACAGATCAACCTTATGATGGGACACCTCCAAATTTAGTCTTTTCCTTCCTGATGTTCCAAGGCTCTTATGTAATAAGAGCATTGGATATATTAGTAACGCACTACTCATAAGGCTGCTGAGAATTCTTCCATAGCCCACGACCAGTTTCGCCCTTTTGGGGGCTCATCAGGTAGGCGCAGTCCCCGGGTTTCCGTCAACTCTATGTTCTACTTGAAACCAAATTGCACCAAATTAGCGAATATACACTCATTTGCAAACTAATTTGGTTTTTCGAGAGACCCACCTGGAACCCAGCTGAATCTCTCGTTTGTGATGCTTCCAGGCCGCCTCATGTTTCAGTCACTACGATATTCGAGATATCGCGATACATGTATATATTAGTAATACGCTACTCATAAGGTTGCTGAAAATCCGTCGACAGCCCACAACCGGCTCGCATATAGTTTGCCACATCTACGAATATGAATGCAGCAGGAAATAGCTTAGAACGATGGTCTCCAGATGACTTGACAGTATCATCACCTTTGGGCAAATATGAGCCTCGCTATTCACTTGAACTAGGTGGTAGCTTGAAGCTCCTATCTCAGAAAACAGGAGAAATCACCTGCTATCTACTGATTCCTTTCAAAAATGTCATCACGTGTTCTGTAGAAAAACTTATCGCCTGGAAAATTCGAGTGCCCAATTCGACTTGATTCAGGACGAAGATGAAGAATTAGTCCTTGAACCGGGACGTCTTTCTAACAGATAAACTTGAAGCAATGGTCGATAGGTATTCTCAGTTTGAAGCCATACTGCTTCAGACTGGACATGCCGTATAGGTGGGTCAGTTAAACAAGTGGGGTAAAATGATAGGCCGATGATGTGGAAAGCCCTCCTATGGATGAACGCAATGCGTTTTCGGGTATAACAGACAGACGCCTTGAAACATTGTAGAAAATGAAGGGTAAAATTTGATTTCGAACTAGTTTACTGTTTTCACACGCACTCGCAACAGCTTTCCGATGACAAACTTTAAATAATTTGCATAGCAACTTATTTAGTTTTGACCGGAGAATCAACTGAATCCGATCGAGCCCCTCGTGTGTGATATTCAGAAACCCTACGAGTAAGGTGCTTCTTCAGCAAAAATTCCAGTTTTACATTTCACTATTTAGCCTATCCACTCAGGTACGCAGTTTGGAGTGTCGTCTGGCAGAAGAACGTGCTACGTTGCAAACACGCCTGGAGAGTTCCGCTGCAACAGTGGCACAGCTGAGTGAGACGAAAGAAGCGTTAAAACGTGCTGCCCGGGCGCAGAAAAAGCGTGCTGATCAAGCCGAGAAATCGCTCAAAGATCTCCTTGAGCGCCTTGAAAAGACAGATGGCAGAATCATGCCCGGTGAAGAGGTACGTTCAAAAACTTAACAAGATTTGGGACGAGAAAACAATCGCTTCTCGCTGAATGAAACCTATTCATGTTTTTCCTTTAGACTGTAGATAGACGTTATACTAGAGAGGATGATGAACATGGTGGAGGGCAGGTGGGTGATGGTGCCTCACGTTCCTATTCACCATCTTCCGTCTCGAAACAAAGAACTCCCAGGGAAAATTTTACAAGAGCTTCTTCGAGAGATGCGCACCTTGAGAAACTGCAGGAAGTGAGTTGATCATATTAGTGTCCTAAGATTTATGAGTTGGGTTAATCTAAATGAAAGTTACTTTGAAGTCAGTCAAATTGGAGCTACGAAAATAATCGATAAAATCGGGAGGTGAGGCAAAGCTTGATGACGCTGACAACAGTAAACTTCTTCGGGCACTGCACGTTGGAGATGCACCACCATCTTGAAGGTTGACAAACGGAAGAATTGAAATTCAGAAAAGCACAACTCAAGGCAATCTTATAGTTTAAATCTGAGATAAACTGCCAAGGAACAACAGATTGGCACAGACAAAGGAAATCCGAAAAGTTTAGTCAGTAGATGTGATAGGCTACGACTGGTTAGGAGAGTGAGCGAAGACACAGCATGAAAACCCCGACTTTGTGAAACACAAGAACTCGCCTTCGGAGGAAATCACACCGATGGTGATATTAGATGCGCAAAGAATGTAGAGGTAGTTTCCCACATGAGATACCGTGGTGACGCTAATCAGTAGAATTGGTAGCATACTCGCTATCCGTGTATGAAATGAAAATCTGTAGATGTCAGCATCAACAGCGAGTTTACTAGATCATAGCAAGAAATTATCCTTCAGCTGTATCCCCCTTTCGGCGCTTACCTGTCATGCCAACGAAGGCAGGCACGGGGGCCGGGATACTGCCAAGTTGCCCAAGCCTAGAAGGGAACAGTCGAGATGCTAAGTTCCTTCCTGTTTGCAAGTTGAGTTGAATCATTTGTGATTACGATTCATCGGCTAGTGCGATGATGCTCACCTGAGCGTCATAACCAAGGAGCTACCTCGAGCCCAACCGTGACAAGAACTGGGTACCTGTTCGGTTTGGGGCGATGGATTTCCGAACCAACTGTACTCTTTCCATGTCACGATAACAACATGCCCAGAGGAGACCCACGGTAACTTTTTTTCCGACCAATGTAGATGAGTCAGCCAGTTGGCTGTGTCTGGAGAACGATCTGATAGAGCTGGAGTAACAACACTCTTTTCAGGTCAGGTGCTAGAACACAACCAAGCGAAGCAACGGTTAGCTAGGATCGCTTGTCCAGCCTGCGGTCGTTTACCGATAAGAGTTCATACCTCGGAAGAACATCCAGACAACAAGTTCTCTAACGACTATTAGCCATATGATGCTGGGAAGCCTCTTGTCTAAGGCCATTAGAACTTTGATGGTTGAAAAGATGACCGTTGATTTGTTCACTGAGCCACAGATCGTAATGTCTACCTACAAATGTGGTTCTTTTGATCTCAAACGCTGCAGCACTACATTAAAATATCACATTTTAGTGGCTCAAGGCAACTCCAGTCAGAAGGAAAAATATCCTGTAAGTCAGTCGTATGAACCCTACTCCCAGAAGTTGTCACTCGACAAGGAGTCCCCCATGATTGAGATTCTAGCTAGATACTACTAACCATCCACCTGTAGACCGGACCTAGTGGTCAGGTTTCTGTGCTGCAATGATCCTGCGGGCTATACTGACTGGAACTCAGTTTCTAAAGGTCCAACCATGTTAGAAAAGCCAACGGAGAGTAGCGAGTCCTCGTGCTGCGAGCAATCGTATTACGACGCAGTCTTCTGTGGTAGGAGGACAGTAAGAGGAGGTAAGGTATTTCCCCTGGGCGACCAGCACGTCTATACTCATGGAAGCAGCGATGCTGCCTTTCCCGAGAAAAGATCGACCCTTAAAACTGCATACCCTGATCGCCCAACGGTTGACCGTGACCAACAGCGCATTAAAACCAGAGTCTGGTGCTGTTCAAAATGTACCTGCTGGTGCAAGTTCGAACCCAGGCCTCTTGAATGCTTCTCTCTACGCTTAGGTAACTTGGCAACAGTTAAACCGTCGGGCTTCATTCAGATTACAGACTGCTACGCAACGAAATGGTGCCATAGCTGAATGATCTTCATAGAAACTGACTTTACTCATATGGTGAAGCGGAAAAAACAAGACTGAGGAACAATCAGTTTACCAGTGATGTCACAAAGGCCTAACAGGATTTTACGGTATTAGAGAAGAGGCAACGCAAGCAAAACACAAAAACAAAAGCCTTCAAGTAGCAGCAACAGACGGATAAGGGACACAAAAATACATCGATCGACTGACACGTTATCCTTCCAAACTTTGGCTGTTAACTTAACCACTCTCAGTTATAGCAGCATAGATCACGTCACACCCGGATCCAGCGTGTGACATAGGTTCGAGGCATCAATATCGCAGGACACAATTTACAATGTCTCAACAAAAGAACCAGCAACAATTCGGTTCGGTAACAAGCGTGGACACCTTAGGAAAACGTGTCAAAACGTGTTCGTCGATTTCGTAACGAGATGGTTACGCGCAACAAGCGGCCGGTCCGGTTCATTTGTTTTTGTCAACGTTGTGTCATGCTCAGAGTAACAGGTTGAATTTGATCAGTCAGATAATAGTACTACTGATCAACCAACCGTTGGTTATATGATCCTTGAGCAAGGCGACAAAAAACGGACTGTTGCCGACTCCCAGTTGAGTTGGGTTCAGCGGGTCAGAGAGGCGTAGAGAGACTATCCAACGAGGCAGGATATTATGCAAGCTCATCAGCTTATTCGAATATAACCTGTCTCCACAACATCGGAACTAATAGCTCCAACTTAAGCACCTTCCGGTGCCTAGCTGCCATGCCACCCAGATGAAGCACGATGGCTGGGA